AACTTGAGGGGAGTTAACACCCATGATTTTTAAAATGCCTTGATCAATAAGAGTCTAAGTTACAGGGAACATTATTTTCATTTTTCAGTGGACCAATAAATGCATTTGACAGGAAAATAGAAAAACTCTACCACAACAGCAATTAGAACAGCTTGCTGCATTATAAGTATCACTTCCCTGTCAAATTAGTGGTTCATGCTTATTTGAATCTGAACATAACAGGCCAATTCTATCACACCTTGCTAGGCTTGAACTTCCATCCAATCAGAGCATTCCAAATGAACATGATTCTCCACAAAACTAGAGGGCGCTCTGACCAAAAAATTGCCATGATCTAAATAAAAAGAACTGATATATATATATATATATATATATATATATATATATATATATATATATATATCAATATTTCATAATTTTAAATATGTATTTATTTAAACTACATATTAATTTCTTCTTTTTTTTAATTTTAATTATTAGTTCAGCACTTTACTGTATGTTCTCTTCAAACAGAATGATGTAAATAAAGTATTATTATTATTATATTCTTTTGACTCTTTTTCTATTTCACTATGATGTGTTTGTTTCTACTGATATGTTTTATATTGCTTGTGATAAAGGTGAAGGCGCGGATTATGAAATTATAGAAATTGTGATCCGAACTGTTGTTTGCCTTGTACCAACTACCCCGGCTCTTGCCATCTACGATACTGCAGTACCGTCATCTCATCGATACGCAACCGCCGGTTAGGGAATAATGATTATGTACCATGGAACTATAAACTATAAATGGTTTATAGTTCCATGCAAGCACGAAAGAAGACCTTCCCTGGTATTTGTCTAAGGGACATCCAATTAGAATATATCTATATCTCTTTCTTTCGGGAGATACTAGTAATACAGGGTGGGGTTTAGAGGTCCATGCTTCAAACAACTTCAACATTTTTTTTTTTTACATCTCCTTTGTTTATTTGTGTGATTATAAAGGATGTCACCCAGATGCTCAATTTGGCGGCTCGTTGCTTGGTTAACGTATGTTAATAATTAAAACGTGATCGCCCGAATGTTTACATGGTCGAGGGAGTATGGCAGAACAACACACGATTTCTTCATTGTACTATATCTGCCACCCATCCAGACATCCAGGGAACTGGTGAGATTGAACCATTGACAACAATAGCTGCTGTGGACTTACGACGTCAACAATACGACCATCAATTAACAGCCAATCAGCAGCACATCACCGAGCTCCAGGGACAGACGGGCGATGTTTGATTTGTATGCGAAACGCTAAACACACTTTTTTAAGTCAATAAATCAGAGTTAGGACATTCTAAAATTAAATATTGAATTATGGGAACGACATATTTCGTTGGGACATGCTTATAACGGAATATTGACTATGTCTGTTGAATATCTGTTTTCTTTTTTAATAATCAAATAACCGATTATATCAACAAAAATGACATTTGATCGGAACTAAATATTTTAAAGGACTACTGAAAAAAAAAACGAGGGTATACAACTCATAGACTAATGTAATTTTATGGGCTCGGCGCTTGATTCCGAAACAACGATTATCAAAGTAAACTTCAATCTCCATAAATCGTTGTGATGATATTCTGATTTCCAGAAATGTAAAAATATTCGTCATGGACACACTACTTTCTACGCTGTAAGCACATGTCATTACCAAGTAAAGTACTAGTACTTAACTGAATGGGCTGTAACTGTTCACAGACACGTTCCGCGTTATCGTACTTTTTCGCAATCACGAATTTTCTCAGTACCGCATATCACTCGTTCAAATGAACAATTCAAAAGTTTAATCACTTAAAATGGACATTTCAGTCTGCTTGTATGGGTTCGTATGCTTAGTTGTGTGCCATAGAATGCCGATAAATAAGTTCAGCCCATGAAATCTGGGGATTTGAGAAACAAAAATAAGAAGGGACCTTTTACGAGACGTCATTGAATGGCGGCGATAATTAGAGCGACTTACTTCTAGCCTGAGGTATAACCATCGTTTTCAGCAACTCAGAGTAATCGTGGTCCACTTCTCTGGGGGAATATTCACTGAACGTTTCGTAACGTTTTTCGTCTGGGTACTCGATTCCAGCAGCATTCATGGCTGCAAAGAGCGCAGCGTTGAAAAACCAACAATCCCGGAAAGGACGGGTACCGTCGTCTTGGTGTAATACTGCTATTCGCTTCCAATTAAAATATTGTAACACCTCCACAAACGCCTCCGCCATTTTGATGTGAGGCGGATGAGCCCTTGTGACCATTTCGTATTCCTTTTTTTCCTTTTGTCCGAAGGTCTGGGCTTTCGCCCCCGTTGTTAGTACGGGGATTTGCCAATGTGAGGCGAATCTTGCAACAGGAGCAGCGGCGTATTCACAAGCGGGTCCAAAGAATGCCTCCACACCGAGTCCCTTAATATTTCCCATGAGTTCCACAGCTCGTATCATCGAGGCATGATTTGAACACTCGGAATCGACGTAGGCCACGGATATATTGGCATCCGTCAGTAGATTGCGATCATTTTGCACTTTTTCTACAGCAATATCAATACCCGGTGCAATCATGGGGGTCACGTATGGATACATATTTTTGATGGTCAAGTTATTGGCAACACTGAAGTGACCAGGCTCCGTTAGAATAACGCCGAATCGTAATTTATACGAAGCCCCCACGGTTTGAGCGAAACATACGCAAAGAAAAATGATTATAAAGCACAACAACGACGACAACCAATGGGATGGAATAAACTGCATTGTAGTCGACTACTAGTCACTGACAGGAGTACGAGTGATGACAGGACGAACGCACGTATAATCCAACACAGTTTGAAAGCAACGCTTACGAGGAATATGATGCGGTATACATCGCCGCTAGCAATCGTCCAACCTCGAGTCAATACTCGATAACCTTATCGTGTAATCAGAACAAGTAAGAATACACGATCTATACTGTTGAGTGTCCTGCAATAAGCGTCAACAGGGGGTCCCTGTCACGACGCCCATGCAATCAGACCCCTGCGAGCACGCCGCCGATGACACACGCTGTGTAAAGTCGTGGGAGGACGCATGCGGACTGGTACGTCAACTAATCGGATTTGTTACGTCTTTCAATTTACGCTTGGAAAAAACTTATAGCCCGTACCTTCCAATTACATATCCGTAACTGCAGCAACTAGATGTACAATCTAAAGTAAACTTACGACGTCTGCCATAAACACATATATACGATAGATGGTATCGCAGAACGGGGCAACACAAACATAGCTAAATTATCAACAACTTGCTCCGTTTTCAGATGTAAGGAATTCCACGTGGTGTACATGACGGATCGAATTATTCAAATTGAAACATGGCGGAGTTACGGCTGGCAACAACCAATCTCCAGGGGTATCGATAATCCCCGTTCCATTTAGTTGTCAAAAGTCGTTTATGCAATCTATAATGAGGAAAGAATCGTGACTAACTTGTTTGAATATATGCGATGTACATTGGGGTATCTAGCGCATCCTACCTTGACAATGGCAATTACGGATGATACGACCGAAGATGCGCGCTGAAAACAATTTGAGTGACAATATATATATATATATTATAATAAGGTTATTAAGGTTATAGCGAGAATATACCCCCACAGTGTTCATGCAGACTGTGCTCCACAACGCATCCGTTTATATCCCAACTGTCTTTCCGCATGCTTTCTGAATAACAATATCATATTCACATTCGTCATGTGATGTACATCGTCAGCTCGAAAACAGACCAGTGCCTCTCAAGTTGGGACATGCACACATAGTATGGTTCGACCCGTGAAATAGCTCACAAAATAGCATGATATCGTGAAAATGTAATCCACAATTATAATTAAGTGTTCGTGTCAATAAAAAACGATCAGAACGTTACGTTGATATAACGTTACGTTCGAAACTGGATTGGTTCTCGCATATCCTAGTTGTTTGGGAAATTGTAATATTAAGAGCGTAATAGGATTTATAAATCCATCAACGGGCAATGAAGTCGGCTGGCGTTTCCGTCAATAATAATTATCAATGAAATGATAACGTGAATATTTGATGTGAGTCTACTGACATTTATTCTCAATCTATTAAATATAATTCCATACGGTCTGTTATGTTTCAATACCTCGTTGTGATCTACTTGTCGTTAATCATTAAGTATGGCGGCTCACGAGTGCGTCACATCTGAATACTGAACGCCTGAAAGCAAAGTACTTTTGATATGCGGCATTACGGGGGGATATTATTTGAATATTCAAATTGCTGATATTAGTGGATTTAAAAAAGATGAGGTTCTAACACTTTTAGTATGATGACGTTTTCACTACTTAGCGGGACAATTTAGTGTAATTTTTTCTGTCTCGTGCCTGGATGTTTAATAGTAGTGATGGGCCCAAGGAAATGCACAGTACGTAGAAGTGTATGTATGTTTCACAATTTGCGATATGGACACATTCTATGCATAAATCATCAGTTATTACAATAAGGGACGTTATTTCACATGTTTCTTGGTACACAAATAAAGATGTAACCTCGTGCGTTCTGTTTGAATCTAGGAAATGTCATGCATACTAGTCTATTAATTTGATTGGATTTTAAGATTATATTAAATGACTTGTGATATGATGTAATCATTAACAGTTCAGGCTCTATCTATATAAGTTTAATTATATATAGTGTTTTATTATAAAATGTTAAACCATAGTATTATATCGATAGTAAGGTCTTTATTAACTATAATAAAACGTGATTAGTGGCATGAATATGTAATTTATTTATAATGCCACTTTACATTGAAATACCGTACAGCCATTAAGTAACACCATACAAAGCCGCACAAACTTAGTCAGAATAATTTAACGTTGATGTATTAGTCAATTTTGAAACAATGTTTATTCAAATGTTGAAAAATACATCTTGCAATAAAAGTACACTGCTTAACATTTAGTCCCATTTTATCGAATGAACATTGATTTATCCTTATCTTTTTCAAAATCAACATTTTTATTTTTATGTACTTGCGACCATGTACATGTATTGCTGAGCATCGTGCTACAAAAAGTGTCTTTAAATCAAGCAACTATATAAGTCTTGGAAGAACGAATAACCCGGTCGCTGATTTCAATTTATCTGTCAGACCCCATGTCTACGCTTTAATATAAACACAAGAACAGGTCGGCTTTTAATATTAATGTTCATTTGTCTTCAATAAAGAAGCCTGAGTAAATAGTCGAACATCGTAAAGATGTCTTAATGTCGACAAATCTCCCAAATAAACCTTTCAATATGGGTTCAAATTTAATGAAGTTTTATTTGAATAATCTTACTCAAACATTGTGTTATGGCGACTCCTGCGATTTTTTAGTCTATGATATTAAATTTATGGTGATATATTGTTATATTGTGTATTTTGCTTCCGTCGTGCGGTTTAACATCTCTCCGGGGTCATAATTATGTTTACTTTGTTTTTTTTTCATTCATTTGTAACGGGTCTGGATACAAAAAAAAATATTCATAATGTTTAAACAAAATGGTTATTACAATTCTATCGATGACTTAAGGATTCTTTTAAAATAATAATTAATAATAATTAAATTTTAAGATAATAATTACTGATGTTTGGATGGATATAATTGAGCAGTTAGAGATATCTCTTCATGTCGATTGTTTTAATATATCTTCGTTTTTTTTACTGATTGAAAACTATACACCTTTCGTTTATATAGTGTTCCGTTCTTTGCTAGTACTATTACCATAACAGGATTACAAAGGTTGAATGTCAAACACGTTGAATGGAGTGCATTCTGGGTAAACTATGCGCAAATAGGGTTGTCAGGTGTATCCTCGAAAAACAAATGACGTTATGAGTTATGAGAAATTTGACGATTTTAAGTTTAAGATTTTTCAGTGAGGAAACCGCAATAGCTTAGAGTGTTTGCTGCATGTAACGCCAACATTATATTGTGACGACTTCGGGTGCCATGAAACAGTGTATGCATCTAAATACATGTATTCGTAAATAATAGTATTAGATAATACGCATTGCATGAAATGAATACAAAACGATTTCTTTAGAATATACACCAACACCTTGTACTAATTGATCCACCTTTATTTCACAAACCTTTAACATTATCGATACTGCTTTCGAAATACGACTCAAACTTTGTCGGTACCGGAGGAGAATATTCCTATTGGTATTTCGACAAACTGACAGTACCGCCGAAGCGGTGTATGGATCGAACATTTCTTTCTCAGATACCGTTCTACGTCTCCGTATATTGATAATTTTATGCAAATGCATGACGCAGACTGTCTTGTTCCTATATTTCGTAGGGTTTCGTCAAAATCCAATATGGCCGCCAAACGACTGAGGCTCAGAATGTATGCGCTTTGGTATTTTCGCCCAGGGTATTTTGGTCGAGTAGAAATCCTAGGGGTCGTTGAGAATCATTATTATACAAATGTAATTCATTATAGAAGGTCAAATATCTCAATTACTAAGAACAAATACTAACGAGTTGAATACACACCTTAG